GAGATTTCTGCGATGAAAAAGTTCTTTATCGCGATGAATTTTTCCTTTAGATAAATACTAGAAAAATCGGTGACGGGTGGATAAAAATATCATTTATCGCGATAAATTTATCGAAAATGCCCTCATGGGCACTAGATAGCGGAAATCTTCCTCGACAAATCTACATATATCCCGTTTTGTGGTCAAAACATCATAGTCGCCTTTGACTGGTCTTAGAACAGTACTCGAGCGAAGAGACTCTTAAAAACTTGGAAGGCGTTTCAAAACAGATTTCAATTGATAGTTATCATACAACATATTTTACAACTGTTTTATTTAGAGTACTATGTGAGTTAGTCCACAAACTTCAAGCATTTTTTTATAATATCCTTATTTATAAGCAAATCACTAAGTGATTTATGGTAGGAAAGTATATACTTATATAGTTCTATCCACTGTTTTACTTCGATATTATTGTCTAACAGTGCATTACGGTAAAATCCATCGAATGAACGAGTATACTGGCTGTGCAATTTACTGAAATGCATAGCGATAAGTTAGGTATCGTTCTTTTAGTGGCACGAGAAAGAGCAAGCAGCAAACTGTCATTACCTGTTGTCACTATATTTCCTCCTTCATGTGTAGGATACAGGTCACATTCTATCTTCTTATCACCTTGAAAAACGCTGAACCATTTATCAGCAATAAACCAATATTCTTCATTGCCATGTTCTAATTTTTCTATAAAATATAGTTTCACAATAGCTTTTTAGAGACCTTGCAGCATTTTCCTACCTGTTACTCTTTTATTAGGTTTTTTAGTACGAGAACATTTGATACACACCTTACAGTAAAGGGAAACATTTTTTCTCATAAAAAGAAAATTCTCAAAGCTTATTTTAGTTGGCTATTTACTTTTTCCAGTAACCATGCATCACCAAATTTTTTACTATCATGACCAATAAGAATTTTTTTGATTCTACCAAGATAAACCATCGGTAAATAGAAAAAATCTGTCTAAAATTACACATAATTATCCTGAATTTCTGTTGTAGCTCAGCTCGGACTAACTGTACCCTGTCGCGTGCAAAGTTATCGGAATGATTTCTTAATTTAATTCTTGGAGTATTTCTGTTGGAAGCAAATATATCTATAAAAACATTTGCTACTGTACCAGCGGCTGATGCGTCTCCAGTATAAACAATTATTTCATACAAAATTACTAAAAGGTCAAATAAACAGACTTTTAAATTAATTCCTAATCATACTAACTTACGATTCTCAACAGACGTTGGTGCAACACCAATTTGTGTTTGTCTGTTATCAACATTTAGTCCTAGGCAACAATCACATAAAAATCTGAAAGAACAGTATCATCATATGTAATTTTTACTAAGCCCATAGTTGTGTACCTACTTATATAATTTTAACTGTTTTGGTACTTCAATTTCAACATAATCTATCAACAAAACTGATCCATTGTAAACAATTGCAACACTCAAAATCTGAAATTAAGATTAAAAACGCTTTTCAAATTAATCTATGTTAAGTTCATACTTACGTCGCCTAAATTCATAAATTCATAAGTGAACTCAGCTAATTGATCATGCATCTGAATGCTTATGTTGTCTCTTTTATTTATTTTCATATCTTTAATATCTATTTCTCTGTTTTCACCTAAGATTTGTAAATAAACAACGCTGTTTATATCGTCGCCACCATATTTCATTCGTATATGGTAGGTAAATTCTGAAACGAAACTACATCAGTGGAACATCACACCTAATTATATTCGACCTTACTTTGCAACTGTTCTTTTCTTGCAACAAAAAATTCACTCCATATAATACCATCATTTTCATCAGATCGTAACCAACTATAGCACAATAAAAATTGTTTTACTTTACTTATTTTAAATTATTATATTAGTTGTATACCTATTACATAAAAATGTCACTTTAAAATCGTCGTTGTGTTTTTGCCGTAGAATAACGGTATCTAAATACCAACCGTTTCGATCACTGTCATCACGGCCAATCAAAATTTTTCTAATTGTTTTCAGTTCAACTGCTTCAATTACAAACGTATCCATCTACAAAACATAAGAATGAAATATAAGTTTGATTTTCAGATTCAATCCAAGCTACACCTGTTCTTTCATACTAAATAAATAGGAGCGACACATAATTCCTTAAAAGTGGAGCATCATTGAGTTCAACTATACGACTGCTGAGGAAGGATTGTTCCAACTGAAACTCTGAAGATTAAAGAGTATCCCAGTGAGTATTATTTACCTGACCCCTCAAAAATTTAACTTTATGTGTTAATGATTGTTCCAACCATCGTTTTCCTGTATCACCAAATCCTCCATATATATTAATGAATACTTCAGAATTAGTGCCTGAATTATTCTTATTTCCCGTGTATACATCAACCAAATATTGCACAACTTTGAAAAAAAATGGCAATGACAATACACTCCCAAAGATTCTAAACTAACGTATTCACGAATCAATACTAAAGAGCTCACTTTATACTTGAGCTATCCAGTCAAAAAAAAATATCAAGAGGAGTATGATGGAGCACTCGTTTTGGGAAAAAAAGAAAGGAGTAATCTTGATAATCCTTTTTTAAGAATTACTCCGGAGTACTCGACGTGCATGTTTTCAAAAGGGGTACTCCAAAAACTACACTTTTTGAAGTTCTCTGCAGTGCCTCGGCTGCACTTTATAAAAAGGAGCGCTCCGAAGCGCTCTTTTTTTCAGGAGTATTCTGAACTACTCCAAAAAAGAGTACTCTAGAGTGCTCTTAGGGGCTTTTTTCAAAAGGAGCGCTCCATTCCCAAAAGGAGTCCTCCGAAAACGAAGTACACCTTTATACTCCTACTTCTGATCTTTTTTTGACTGAGTAGTTGAGAGCTAGTCTTGTAAATTATCAAAACTCAAATCAAAGCATTAGTAGAATGACGTTAGGACGGAAACGTCAGAAGAGCCTGGTATTCAATTTAGACTTTTCATTTCTTTAAAAAACAGTAGTTTTGAAAAACAGTTAGCAGGTATACTAAGTTATTGAAATATTTTATTTCTGCTCGCTGTGAATCATAACGTCAAAATTTACAATCTGCCATTTATCTGGTTATGGTGCAGTATTTTTCGGCAAATCGAAAAGCCATAGGCTCTTCAACTTTTTGTGTATTTTTCGATTTTTACCTGGTAGATCCCAAGATATGTCCTCGCCTTCAGCTGGTAACTCTGTTATCAGTTGTCTATCATTTTTTCTTTTCGATAGCCATGCGTCACACTTAAATATATATCGTTTTTTCGTTGTGATGTTTTCCATCTCGATCTATTTAAAAGTAATTTCTTGTAAACATGCCACAGCGAAAGTATTTTCTACTCACTCTACTCAGACACCATGCTGCATTCTCGTCTTTCTGCTCATGATTAATACGTAGTTTATATGGTGTTCCGACATCGACAATGTCTACTTTGAACTTTTCACATTGTCCTCTCTCAAAAAAACCTCCAGAACTACTGAGTGTAATGATATTCGATTTTCCATTCTCACCATACAATGTGATCTTAATAGAAGAATCTGTACCAGCATCTTTCACATTACTCGTGAATATCCAAACAAACCATGGTAGAGCTGAAATATAGAGCTGTTATATATACTTACATATTAAAAGAACTAAATGGTACACATACCTGGTGGCTCTGTTTCTCTTTTCTTTACACATTCGTATAATCGATACTTATGTTCGTCGTGTACCCAGGTTTTATTAGAAAATGTTTGTTTGATACCGGTCCTTGGACAAAAAATTGTAATCTAAAATAATGTCAAAGATAAAATGGGATGCCAGGTCAACCATGATCTACGTGTAAAAGTCAAAACCAACATTTCAAGCTTTCTCGCTATTATGCAGTAAGGAATCAACACTTTGGAATAAGCTTTTATTAGTTAAGACGTTGAAAATAATGTAAAAAGAGGAAATTAAAAGTGAATTATCATGCTTTGAAGCTCCACTGCTTGTATAAGAGTTTTCACCAGGATAAGTATCAATAGTTTTGTTTATTTTCTTTTATACTATGGATCAAT